CTGGCTCTACTACTTACTATCCGTGTAACCCTGAGCAAATTCCTTAACCTCTTATGGAGCTGTTGTGAAGGTTAAATGAGTTAATTCACATAAATACTTAAAACTGCATCTGATACACAGTAAATAATACTCAATAAATATTAGCTCTCTCTGTGTATGAGACATACCTATGGAAAGAAAGTCAACAGGTGGTACCAAAAGTGAAGATAAAATAAGATAGTCTAATGAAGTGATAGTTTTCGCCAAAAACCCAAAAACAGATGTTTTATGGTGGAAAATGTTATTCTATAGCTGTGTTCTTAAACTTGGAAAGTAGCAATGATCTTGAAATAAATCTCTCAGAAATGTGAAGACTGTACTTCTTGCTGAAATCAGTATTAATAGCCTAACAGGTTTCTCCTGTCTTGATATAGTAGGCCATTCCTAAATCTATCCCATGCTGTGGATGTTATTCCCACTGCTAAAATAAGTTTACTCACAGTGTGTTCAATGCCAATCTCAAATATAATCTCATCAGTAAATTCTTTTCCTAATCATTTTCCAAGATACGTGATTACTCCTGCCTTTGAAATATCCAAATAGTCTACAGCTGTACCATCCTGAATGCGCCCTATCTCATCTGAAATATCCAAATAACCCTGAACTTCTTACTCTACTACATAGTAAAATCATTTGTGTACTTATCCTACTAGATTATATGAGACTGCCTCTTGTTGATCATGCATTCAATATTTACTGAGTGCTTGTCATATGCAAAGTACTGAGGATACAAAGGCAATGAAGACATGCAACAAATAATGCAGCAACACCACAGCAGTAGGTACACTATGCAGAGATGGTATAAATGAGATGATCTCTTCTACCACACATCTGCAGTATCTAGCATGGCAGAACATGTATGGTAGGGACCCAATAAGTATTTGTCAACTTTAGTTCCTACCACCTTTTTGAAGCTTTTCCATACCACTACAGATAACTTTTTTTTTTTTTTTTTTGGTTCTCCTCAAGGAGAATGGTATAGACAGACTTTGCTCCCTAAAAGTCTGTCTACACCATTCTGCACATGGTATCTTTAATCTATGTGTTAGCATGATAGGCGGTTATTTAATATTTTACATATAAATATGTCCTATCTTCCCCAACTATAAAACACGTGTTCGAGAGAGCAAGAAATCCCAGAGCACTCCGTACTTATTACTAAGCATTTAGTATCTGTTCAATGGTCCTACAATTTCCTAAAGCAACCAAAATATGTCATGCACCTATTTAAATAGCTGATAGCATCACTTCTGAACCATCCCACCTGTGCTCTGGGTTCTCTATGAAGCAAACAGCTTTCACACAGGTGTTCTTAAAGCAGGAGGCTAAAGAAATGTCTGCTGGAAGCATGAGACTATGTCATTCTTCTCAAGCTAGGAGTCCAGAACTTAGAAAGACAGATTTAGTTCCTCTTCCAACTAAACACCTGGGTCCTCTGAGAATTCAGATACAAATTTGTATAATGAATTCACCCAGATATTTTGCTAAGCTATGTGCCTATAAGATAACATGCACATAGAAAGCACTCAGCAAATGACAGTTTCCTTTTTCTCCAATCTTACAAGGCCCTAGATCCTGTTGGTAACTAAGAAAAGGTAAATGCAACTATCAACCACTTAATTCCAATGCTTTGACTATCCAGAAGAAATTAATTCCTGGTTCCCTGTTGATTCTAATCTAGGAGACAGCTTAAGGGAGCTCATGGGTCTTGAAGCCTGTAAGGTGTACAGGAAGTCCTCACTTAATGCCATTCATCGCTCTTGCAAACTGTGATTTTAGGCAAAAAAACATACAGCAGGTCCTTGAATAATGTTGTTTCATTCAACATCATTCCATTGTAATGATGATGAGAACAAAAAATTGGTTTTGTTATATGTAGTTTTGCTTCAAGTCGCAGTTTCAAAAAACTTTCAAATGTTAAGTGAGGACTTAATTCACCTAAAAGCTTATCACACACTCAAATATAACAAATAGGAAACATTATGCAACTTGAATACAAGAGTATGCCCACTGGTTTCTATAGTTATCATTCCATGCACAGTATTCACATGAATTCTTGGATGAAAAGTCTCTTACATATTTGGATACCATCATACTATACTAGAACCGAAGACCATACGAGTCTAGTATAGCCAGCATTCTCTGGCTACCTCATGGCACTGCATAATCACTTCCACCCAAATCTAGCCAAATCCAGGTTTAAGCACTTCTGTATCTATTCCAAGATGAACTCCCTTTCTTGTTTAATCTCAGTGACTCTTACTTCTAGAGAGGGCACTCTTCCTTCTGTATCTCTTCCACTGCTAACCTTTCTAACCATCAAGAACACACAATAGATAGTAGACCTCACATTTTAATGGCACGAATTACAATTAAAGTTTGCCAACTGAATAGAATTAATAGTGGTACTCAATGCACTTGGGAAACAAAAGAACTTTTAGTTACACCAATGTCAACGTGCAATTACTATAAGTGGCCATAAGAATAACATCTCTAGGCCGGGCGCGGTGGCTCAAGCCTGTAATCCCAGCACTTTGGGAGGACCAGAAGGGCGGATCACGAGGTCAGGAGATTGAGACCATCCTGGCTAACATGGTGAAACCCCGTCTCTACTAAAAAATACAAAAAAACTAGCCGGGTGAGGTGGTGGACGCCTGTAGTCCCAGCTACTCGGGAGGCTGAGGCAGGAGAATGGCATAAACCCGGGAGGCAGAGCTTGCAGTGAGCCGAGATCCGGCCACTGCATTCCAGCCTGGGCAACAGAGTGAGACTCCATCTCAAAAAAAAAAAAAAAAAAAAAAAAAAATAATATCTCTAATCTACACTCACCTACTAATTCCTTCTCTCTCCATCTTTCATTCAAGTCAGTCCCTTAAGTTTTGTCATTCTGACTTAAATTATTAAAACCTTAACCCTCAAGCCCCACATGGTAGCTTGTGTTCTGCTGTCTGACAAGGTGTTTGTTCAGATTACCTACCAGCTGAATGACCTATCTGGCCTTCCTGGGTCTGTCCTAACAGACAGAAATTGGCAACCTAGACTCTTTCTTTCTCCACTAGTTATAGCTCTAGCTTGACATCTTGGAAAGTTGATCTAAGGTTCAATTTTTCTGTACTCTATCTAACATTTAAAATGTCATTTTAAAAGAGTAAGCCATACATTCAAAATGTTGCTTCACCAATGTGACAGGAATATAGTGATTTAATATATTGAACTCCAATGGAAAATGTTTGCCATACATGGCTTCTTTTTAAACTAATAAGTACCTTAAAATTCTTTTTCTAATGAAAATAAATTTGCTCATGTATTAATCTTTGTATGTCCTTAAAAACAAAAACATAAATATCTATCATACCAATGACATAACTGCATTTCACACCTAACCCATTCCATATCTTAGCCTAGTTACAATTTCACATTTGTAGGTTAAAAAAATTAGACTAGAATTTTTAAAAATCCAGATAGCTAATTATAACTATAGTAATTGCCATTATCCTTTACAAAATAACCTTAGTTTCTCAAATACAATTTTTCTCCAATCCATATCTACTTTCTGCTGTGATAAATGGTGGTCTTCCAAAAGATAAAGTAAGTTCCTCGCAGTTGCTCTAAAGAAATAAAAGGTAGCAAAAGGTAGCTTTAAAATAGCTAGATATTTCTATAGTAAGGGTTACCAGAAGGGTGAAAATCATACTAAAACACAGGGTGAGCAGAATAAATTACTAGCTAATAATAGTCCTTCAACAACTAGGATAAATATTTGTAGATAAACAACAATATTTTTTATGTAATAAGCTATGAAAATGTTTCTTGGTTTGACTGGAGAAAAACTGTTAATACAGAATAACTTTCATCTACTAATTCTACATTAACAAAATTGTCTTCCATAGCAAAAAAAGAGAAAAGCCACAAAAGATAGACAGAAAAAGTAAATGGAAACCATGCTTGTATACAAAATAAGTTTCATCCTCCCACTTTGAATCAATTTGAAAGGTAAAGTGGTATGACAAACTATTCTGATACCTATCAAAACTTTGCTTTTCATTATACTGGGAGAGTTCCAAATCAAATTACTGATTTTTATTTGAAACTGGTTAAGATAGTCATCGGATGTCTTCATCAGTTATTCAATTATCCTATAATGTCTGATGGGAATTTATAACATTTTTAATTCCCTTCTATTAACAGAGATTACATTAACAGAAATGGGAGATCAACAGATCTGACATTAACAGAGATAAAATCATACTAATATTTAACAATTTGGAAAGTTAATTTGATAAAATATAAAGATATTTTATTGTTTAGTTTTATAAAAATTTTATGTGATAATAGCTAACATTTATTGAGCACTTACTATGCACTAGGTTCTGTGCTAAGCGCTTTAAAAGTATTACAGCACTTTAAAAGAAATAGAAGCCTGCAAAATGGAACAAGCATTAAACTGTTTGAGTCAAAAATCTAGATTCTATATCCAGATTGAGCTAAAGCAAAAGAAGAAATATTTCAGAAATATTTGTGAAACAAAGAACATTTTACAAACCGCTAAGTAATGAGCTTACTTAAACAGGCGCACACACACACACGCCCACACACACACACACAGAGTAGCCAATCAAATAAACTAAAAAAAGCTTTTAACTTTCTTTAATTGAAAACAGAGAATGTCTATTTTTAGTTTGTTTAGCAAATTCTTCAAAAATACTGCAAAAAAATTACAGATATAAAAGATGTTGAAATAAATTTCATTCTATGCTATATCCAAATAGCAACCTTAGGATCAATAAGGTCTGAAATAGTGAGATTTTGCTATGTAAGTAAAATAAAACTCTGAAAATTAAACATTTTTCCTTTTAAATCATACAATAAACCCACAAAGGAAGTACTGGTTGTTCTTTATTTGGTAGTTACTTATTTTTCTCTTTGAATAAAGTATCCCAGAATAAACACAAAATTCTTACTTTGTTGCCCGTATAAACTTGCCCCAAACTGAGACAGCTGACCTGATGTAGATGGTGATGCCAGCATCTAGAAACAAATTAATTATATTAGAGCATAAAGAAAACAGAGCATTGCAATTATACTCTACAAATCTGTGAATCATACCATAAATGTGAAAATCTAACACTTTTTCTCATTCTTCAGAAAAACATAAAACAAACATTCTATAATAGATTCCATGCTTCTTAAGAGAATATCACAATTGGATAAAACCAAACTGTGCAAATGAAATTAATATTTAATACTGTAAGTTTTCTAAAAGTCACACTAACTTCAGCTATAGCAACACTACTATTTCACTTAGGAAGTTAAAAAAATAAAATTATATAGATATGGTATATAATTTATATATTTGTGATATGAACTTCATGGTGCTTGTACAATGCCTTTGAATTTACTTCATCAATTTTTTTTCCTTGTAGATGTAAATTATTTGAAGATATATTATGTTCACAGTACATTCATTTTATATTCCTCATAGAAATGAAGGTAGCAGTGCTATATACTCAAAGTAAATACTGACACTGAGTAAATGAAAATATGTGTGTGTGCATATTTGTGTATTTCCTGTCTTATATTAGACAACCATCAAAACATCCTAATTAAATAAGACATGAGCCATGTCATCAAGGGGCTTACAATCTAGTGGGGAAAGAGAATGAATTATACAACTCATTATATTTTAAGGCACAGTGTGGTAAATGCTCTAAAGGAAACATGAAACATCACTGGAGCTACACAAAGGTATCAGGAATACACAGAGTGGTAACATTTAGGTACATACAATGAAGGGGTCTTCCCTCAAGAATATGCAGTGTAACAAGTGTAATAAAGGTTAGTAATGTAACCAGAAACCACCTGTACCCCCAAAACTATTGAAATTCAAAAAAATTGAACAAAAACCCAGTATCCAGTTGTTAAAAAAGAAAAATAAAGGTTTGTAATATTATTAGAGAACATAAACAGTGGTGACAGGATAACTATGAAAGGAGATAAAGTTCACCTCTATTCGGAGATAAAGCTCACCCATGTTAGGGCACAGAAGAATGCAAAATAAATGCCATACAAGAATGGCTACCAACTATAGCAATAAAAAGAAAAATAATATTAAGCAAGAAAGTGGCAATCAAAATGGGCTTTGGGAAGATAACTCTAATAGCAGAAATGGGTTATGTTGAGATGCTAAATGACAACAGCAGAAGTGGAACTAAAAATAAGAGGCATTCTGGTGGTAGAAGTAAGAGTTATTTTATGTCCTGTTGACTAGCTGGGGTATAATCGGAAAAGGAGGAGAATGGAGACTCATAAAAGAGAGAACTATCAGAGGCTGATGGTGGTTTCCAGGGATGGGAAATCATGCTGACACTGACACAGTTAGAAAAACCAAGAAGTGAAACAAGTATTTTTGTTTGTTTTTTCTATTTTCTCATCCTGTCTTGTGGTGCTGCAAGGTGAAACATTTAAATGGTAGAGGTTTTACAATATACATTTCATACTTTTTTCATGTCAAAATTCTAAGTTGTTTTAATTATACTAAAGTTTGCAAAATTTTTTATAGAACTATAGTTTTAGACCAATGATAAACATCAGACACTCCTGAGGTAGGGCTGAGTTATACACCACTCTAAAAAAAAAAAAAAAGCAGTAATATTAATAAGACAGTAGTGATTATTCTAAAAAACAAAACAAAACAAACAAAAAAGCATCAAACCTTACAAATATTCCCTCCCAAATCCAGAGGATGTGTAACCTAGACAATTAAACTAACATTCTTTATCTATACAACTAAACTGTATATTCTTTCCCAAGTATAACCCAACAGATCAAAAGATGCCTAATAAGTTCTTTTCTTAGGTATTATAGATTACTGTTACTGCATTAACTGAAAATATTTTGTTAAGTATATTAAAAGTTCATTTCTAAATTGCCAGAACAAGAACATATAATAAAGCTTTAGTCGATCACACAAGGGAAAAGGTTTATGGCACATGTATATCCATGTAACAAATCTGCACGTTCTGCGCACGTATCCTAGAACTTAAAGTAAAATTAAAAAAAAAAAAAAAAAAAAGGAAGTTTTATCCTTTTTAGTAAGTTTTATTTTATGATTATGTAGTGGCCTTCTTTATTCCAAATAATGCTTGATATCTTAAAATCTGGTTTTCCTAATAGTAATACAAATCAACCATCAGAAAAGGGAGGTAAAAGATTTATATAAAATTCATAAGAATCATGATTTTCTATCATTATAAGCTATAAATAAAAAAGTATAGTTGCTTCTAAAGGCTGCAAATATAAGGTGTTAGCCAACATAAATGCATGACTTAAAACAATCCATAATGTGAATATTGTCAAAACACTTAAAACATTTTTCATCAGATATTTATGTTTATTGAATAGTTAACTCCAGACAACACACATTTTAGTCTACTTCCTCACACTGATTATACATCCATGAGTTACAAGTATGCCTGAGTATCTGCCCTCTCAAAATGGGAGGAGGGAGTAAGTAGGGAGGGGAAGCAGAGCATGAAGGTAAAGAGGCGGTGGGTCCCCAGGCCAACTACTTGACATCGAGAGCGGTAGGGTGATTCACTTACCACAGCGTGTAATATTAAATATAATTTTCTCTATGTGCCACTACATGAAAGCGGTTAGTAAACACAGCTTTACAGGAATAATAAAAGCAGTTTAACGTTAAATTTAAGAGTTTATAACCTTCAACACATTCATGTAAAATAAGCATCAATCAGCTATACAGACATATGTTAAAATTACTGCCTCAAAATGTTTCAAAAATGCAAATATCTAATTTCTTATAAAGTCTATCCCTAAGAATCTGTACTTTTAAATTCTGAAGGCAATATTTCATGAAATAAATTGGTGCTAAAAATGGATTTAACACACAGTGAAGAAATGTGAATGTCACAGAAATGCTTTTTATGAGAGCATAGAAAACGCACAAGAAATACACTGACAGAACAGTAAGTACTATTAACAGAAAACAAAATTTATATATTTTTTAAATTCTGAAAGTTAATAATATAAAGGTAAATTTCTTAGAAAAGTATAAAACTTTAGATCAAGAAACACATTACAGTAGGGGATGCAGCACAAACAGAAAGAGCCTAGTTTTGGAGTCAGAAATAATCTGCGTTTGAATCTTGGTTCTGCCACTTACCTATGGAACAGCCAATACTCGGTTTCTCCTATAAAATGAAAATGACTACCTACCTCACAGAGCTGAAGTGAAGGTTAAATGAAATAAAATATGACATATAGTATGTGCTCAATAAATGGTAGCAGCAGCTGCTAATAATCTAATCTTCCCCTCAGTTGCAGAACTATCATTAACAGGAGTGAGGGCGGGTATTCAGACTCTGAGAAATTTATTAAATAATACCCTTAATTTATATAACTTTTTGCCCAGGGTGCTAAAGAAAAGTTTATCTTTACAAATTCCAGGTAAAATAAGGCGTAGAACTTGTGTTCTCAAGAGTGGCAAAAGGTAGAAAAAGATTAATAGAAAGGTGAAAACAACAAGTTAAAGCACACTCTAAAATCATCAAAATAATCAGGTCTTCCAAATCTCTCAGAAATCTATAATGCACACAGCAGTCAAACAACAATAAAAAGCAGGAAGCAACTAGAAGAAATAGTAATGTGATTCTGGTTATTTCCCTAACCCATCACAGAGCTTCTTTATCCTTTAATACACAGAATGTCAAAGAAATCCACAAATTGTTGCAAGGAAATACAAAAAAATTTTGTTACATAAAAATTCCCTGACCATGACAGCAATTAAAAAATAACATTTAAGTTTTAAAATATTATTTTTATAAGACTGTATAATATACTCAAAATTATGGTGATAACATAATTCCTAGCACTATGTTATTATTCCAGGACAAAAACTACAAATGAATTATGACTTTAACTGTATCATATCCACAAAGAGAAAAAGAGACAAAGAAAAAGGAAGAAAGCATATGCATGCACACACATAGAGTTCCAGATCTAGAGAGAAGCTAAAGAACCTTTAAAATTGGAAAACGAATGACTTAAAACATGAAACTAATGAAATGCAGCAAACAGGCACAAAAAAAGGAAAGACTATGAGAAGGTAATACATTAAAAAGAACAAGGCCGGGCGCGGTGGCTCATGCCTGTAATCCCAGCCCTTTGGGAGGCTGAGGCGGGCAGATCCCCTGAGGTCGGGAGTTCGTGACCAGCCTGACCAACAAGGAGAAATCCTGTTTCTACTAAAAATACAAAAATTAGCTGGGCGTGTTGGCACACGCCTGTAATCCCAGCTACTTGGGAGGCTGAAGCACGAGAATCGCTTGAACCCAGGTGGCGGAGGTAGCAGTGAGCCAAGATCCTGCCATTGCACTCCAGCCTAGGCAACAAGAGCGAAACTCTGACTCAAAAAATCCCCAAAAACAAACAAACAAAAAAGAACAAAAGGGAAAAGGGGCAAGGGAGGAGGCAGGCAGTAAAAGAAAACAGTCATTAAGTCACAGAACAGGGTAGCTTACAAATCAGATAACTGACGATATGCATCTACTAGGTATTTCAAACAATTTTCATTAAACTATTCTTAAGCTTACATAAGGAACATTTGAAAAATAGTGTAATACTCAATGTAGTTAATTCCTTAGTGTTAAACACTTTAGATTCAAATTTTTTATTTAAAAAAAAAGTATGGCATTATATTATATTGTCTGAATGTCAGGTTAGAGCTGAAGTACAAATTTACAGAAAGACATATGACTGACTCAAGGAATGTTTACATTTTAAAGGTTTTTAATATTAACTGCTAACCTATTTTCTACAGTCTGTCTTAATTACAGCAGTCACTTCAGTGCCCCCCTCACAAACACTAACTATTCTCCCACTTGAAAAAAAAATCCTCCATAAGCTATGTACTATAGTTCCTATTTTACAGATGAGAAAACTGAGACACGCAGAGACAGATGTCCTAAGACACATAGCTAGCAAATCAGGTAGCTGACATAAAAATTCATACAGTAGGATTTCCAGGGCCTACATTCTCAATCAACAAAAACTAATAAAAGAGTTTTACATGGCAGTTTGTTATAAAATAAATGCACAAAGTATTCCATAGGTCAGTAAAAACCAATCTGAAAAATGCAATGAAAATGGCAACTGTAAAACCCTATTAAAAGGCATAAAGAACAAGATTAAAGGGAGAAATATCCTTCTGAAAAACCATCTACATTGGTATTAACGTGCAATAACCAAACACCTTTTTTTTAAAAAAAGGATGTGGAAGATTCTTACCCAAGACGTTAAAATGGTCTACAAAGCTATGGCAATTCAATGACGTAGTTCTGACACAGAATCAGTATGGTAAACAGAACAAGATCTTAGAAACAAGCCTAAGAATGTATGAGACACTAGCACATATAATAAAGGGATATTTTAATTAGCCATAAATGAATGATCTAACCCAGGAGTGGGCAAATTATTGTCTGCAGGACAAATCCAGCACACTGCCTGTTTTTGTAAGACACGTGAACTAAGAAAAGTTTTTACATTACAGATGGTTATATAAAGACCTATTATACAAAATAGGTTATGATTTTATGTATATCCTTGATTTTGCTTCTTGGTCCACAAAGCCTAAAATAGTTACTATTTGGTTCTTTAAGGGAAAGTTTTCTGACCCATGATTTAAAGCATAAATGCTGTCGGGGCAATTGGATAAGCTTGTAGAAAAAAAAGTATTTGGAACCCTGCAATTCACAGGTTAAACCAAAACACATTTCTAATGGACATAAATTATATGTGAAGAACAAAGTATGATAAGAAAGTAATTGGGAAATGTCTTCCTAAGTATGATCTCAAAAACAGAAGCCATTTAAAAATAAGACTGGTGGATCACATTTAATTAAAATGATACATATACGTATACTACAAATACCATTAATTAAAGGTAAAAATTGGGAAAATATTTGTAATGAATGACAAGAGGTTATTATCCTCAATACATGGAGAATGCAAATGAGTAAGACTTAAGATCTCACTAGAGAAATAGAAAATGGCACAAAAAAGGTACACAAAGGAAGAAATACAAATGACCAATAACTATGTGGAAAAGACACATCACACTGTGTGTGTGTGTAAAATTAATGATGTTTTACAGTATGTACATGAAAACAATAAGCTTGTCTATTAGCAAAGACTTAAATGTAATTGCTGGTATTCTTGTTGGCATGGAGAGTGGTGATTAGAGTAAAAACTGGTACAAACTTTTTGATGGAAAATATGCCTGTATGACCCAGAAGATTTAAATAATCGTATATTTTTCAATAAAAATATTTTAAACATAAAATCAGAATTTTAGCAATTAATTATTTCTGAGAGCATTATAGGTAATTTTTCTTCAAGTGTATTTTTAAAAATTTGTATAATTTCCCTGTGCTATTTTGTAATTTTAAAAAAGTAACAGCAACAGCAGCCAATTTATGAGGAATATATTATTACTTCCATTTTTACAGAAAAGGAAACTGAGACTTGTTGAAGTTCTGGCTAACAGGCAAAGTCAGGATCCAAACACACATATTTGTATTGCTTTAGAGTCCAAGTTCTTAATTCCTATGCCATACTATGTTGTTAATTAATGTTTTTTTAAAAAAGGTTTTGTGGAGCAAACCATTCTGTTACTTCTGTGACAACCAACTGGATCAGAATGGTGGCCAACATTTGTGAGTATGTGTGTAAGTATATATACTAATTCTGATTTTAAAATTTAGACATATAGTATTTCTGCTTTTGAGAAGACATATATCTCTTTGTCATTCATTCTCTTTATATACTTTATTTTAGATTTCAATCTGAAAGCTTCCTATCTTCCTAATTAGAATAAATGCATTCATCAGTAATAAATATTTCATTAACATTTTACAAGCAAACTTAACTTTCATTATATAATCACAGTAATACACACAAATTGTAGGTTTTTGTTTTTGTAGTTGTACTATCAAAAACATATCCCAAATTCTTTATTTACAAGGTCAACACTTAAAATAGAACCTGTGTAAATAATAATTCAAGTATAACTTACATAGTACACAGCTAAAAGGGCAGTAAGATAACAGAAAATTAGATGGCATTATTCCACAAGCTGTTAAACTACACACTAATTATGAACAAAGCCACAACACACATTAGTTGAAAAAAGCCCAATAATGCCATTGATAGTTTGTTTCCAAAATGACACAAAAATGTTCAACTCAAAATAAAAAAGGAAAATACCAAAACAGAGTAACAAATGTCCTAGCATAAACCTAGTAGGTTAAGCCGATTTGTGAAATTCTGCAAAGACAAAGGAAGTGATTTACTAATGATCAACTTCAAAGAAAAACGAGGGCATTTGTTACATATCTTAGAACTTTATAAATACTTCAAACATCAGTAAAAATCTCATTAGGTTAATAACTACAGTAGATTGTTTTATACATAAGGAAATTAGACATAGCAAGTTTATAAAGGTGTGAAAGGTAAAAAAGTTGGGCAGGTGTACGAAGTATAAGAACGCAACTGGTGTGACTAGAGTGTATAGTGTATAAAGTAGATTAACAGAATTTTAATAATTACATTCATTTTAAAATATTTTATAAATTTGCTAATTATGACTTGATTACATTCTAAATCCTTTTATCTCAAATGGGATTATTGAACTATTAGCCTTCCAAAGCATTTAATTCATATCTCTATATCATCCATCACATTTTGAATACATTCTTCCAAATTTTTGCTACTGTAGTATCCTTATGGCTGAACAGAGGAGAGATACACCTGAGGTCTAGAATTACAGCTAGATAACACAGTAAGCATAAAGTTTTATTGCAGCTTGCCATTGTATCTTCAAGTCTGCATAAATCTGCTTTCTGTTCTATATCTGCATTTGTTTTAATATCAAACAAATTATTTCCCATATTGAACAAACGAAAAAAAAATCAGTGATCTAGAAGTTATACCATGTTTACTCCATGTCTTTGAGTACTTCTACCACATTATCACCATATCCCAACTTGAGAATCATGGGATATTTATTTTCCCCATTAGAATACAAGTTCATTGTCTTTGTATCCCAAAAGGATACAAGCACCAAAGGGACTAGCACTGTGCCGAAAAGATTGTCACTCAACCACAGACAGTATTCTGCGCTTGATACGCTGTTTTTCGGGAACTCAGACACAGACTTACATTGCTGAAAAAATACAACACAACTGATTAACTTACATCTTTTTCTGACCGATGTGGAAACATAGAAGACTGGCTGTAGTACATGTTTTCGTCATGGTAGTCACTGTCGACCCCCTCTACAAACTTCTTTCTTGAAGCACCAAACATGCTGTTTGTCACCTAAACAAAAATATTACTTTTATCAAGGGTAATAGTTTGGAAAATGTTCAGTTTTACCTTACTCCTACATGGAAAACAGAACATGAAGGGAGCATTGTTAAGGTACAGAAATTGATCAACTAATGGCTAGTGGGGCATATGATAAAGTCATAAATCTGATTATAACAATAAAGTGTTAGATGTTTATTTCCAGACCCTAAAAGTAGGAGAATCACATAAAGCCTATCTTAACAATTCCACTTCCTTTAAAAAAACTAAGTATCACTTACTCTTCAAAAATGGCAACCCCAAATATCATTTTCCCATACATAGATTTTTTTTTTAAATTAAGTTTAGGTTTAATTATTCAATATCTTCACATGCATCTTCCACCTTTGTGTATTTGCCATCACCTTATTTTCACAGTTATCTGTTTTCCCAAGCATTCATCTTTCCTTACAATCTAAATTTATTGAAATATACCATTTTTTGAATCAGTGTATATATAGTGGCATACTAGAATTTTATCTCAAGCAAGTATCTACTAACATAACTGGAGTACAATCTTTCATTGATCATACTGGTGTAAAATTATTTCAATGATATAATCTGTGTATTTGTTTGCTTTTCCAGTCTTTGTAACATCCAACGTTAGCAATTTTGAGCTCACACCAACATAAATTGTTGTTGTTTGTTATCTGTGGAGAAATGGTTCTAGGACCTCTTCCCTCATGGATTAAAAAAATCCACGGATGCTCAGGTCTCTCACATAAAATGGCTTATAATATTTCCATATAACCTACACACATCCTTTCATATACTTTAAATCATCTCTAGATTACTTATAATATCTAATACAATGTAAATACTATATAAATAGTCATTGTATTGTTCAGGGAATAATTACAGGAAAAAACAGACTGTACATGTTCAGTAGAGACACAACCATCTATTATTTTTCCTCAAATATTTTCAGTCTGCAGCTGGTTGACCCACAGATGCAGAACCCATGGGTATGAACGGCCAACTGTAATTATTAAACTCTGTGCTAATTTTTATTTTTAATCATTTTTAAAACGTGACTTCTATAAAATTACCAAAACTATTAACTGACTAAAGTTATGGAAGGTCAATGTGTCTTTCTCCTAACAGTACTTTGAAAATCAAGGTAAACCAATTTTAATGAGAGGAGAGATTTTAAAGACTTGAATACAAGGTGACTATGTCTTTTCACAAGTACATTTTTGGGGAAAACTCATCTCAAATTTGGTATCTGTCTTGTACATTCATTATGACAAAGAATATTTTCTTCCATTATAAATAAGTGAACAATTTCCATGTCTCATTTCAAAAAATGCTGTAGTCACTATCATATATCAGTAGACGTGAACTATGTTGCAGACTTTAAAGGCCAAACTTTATATTTAACTCTGTTGAAAGCACCTATGATGTGTAACATTTGTTATATATTTTAAGTTCCCTGTTAAATATGTAGGAAATTTAATTATTTGACTGACCTCATCCTAACAAGGTCTGAAAACCTATTCAGTCAGGGATAAATAAAGTACTTTGCTATATGTTTTTAGGCGAGTAACTGCTGGAGGTGTGAAATAAACAAAGATATTTTTTAAGGGTCTAACAATTTATTAGAACACAGGTACTTAATCTTTTTTTGTGAAGCAGACTCCTGGTGAATTACAGAAGGCTATTCTGTAACTCTGTTATTTCAGACTAGGATCCCACATGCCTATCCACCAGCTCCCTAAGTAGCCCCTGCTAGAGGCAAAATAGATGTTTCTTAGTGAGTAATTTCAAGAAGCAAACAGTGGCAAAAAATCACTTTAGAGCTTGCAAATTAAGATTCAATACACATAAGATTTTAGAAGTTTGTTTTGTGAAAGTTGAAGATACATTTAATTATCTTTACAGAACTTTTACTACTGAGCTCTAATTCTAAGAAAGAATAAACATGGAAAATGCATAAAACGTACATAATTCAATAAAGTTTCAGGTGAATGTCAAGGCCTCTCTCATCAAATTTTACACACATAAATAAGCTCAAATTGATAAACTCTTCTTTTGACACTGCTTGTATAACACTTATCATCAAGACCATTATAGACTCCTAGAATTCTCAAACTGAAGTTAATTGTATAGAACTAACTTTTATGCTTAATACCTTGCAAAAAGGTTTGAAGGCAAAATTAAACATATGTTCCAGATGAAAGAAAATGAAGAAATGTTCCTTTTCCATCAATAGCAGATTTTCTCAAGAGTCACTGTGTGTGCGCACATGTGTGCGTGCGTGTGTGTTAGAGAAAGAGAGAGAGAGAGAGAAGAAAGAAAATATGCTAAACTTAATTTCCGTTTTGTGTGCCTTGGCACAGAAATTACACGTCAGTGACAATACTAATTATTTTTACATGACTTTGGCAAATAATTAAAAAACAAAACAAAACAAGAGAGAGACAGAGAGAGAGACGGATGGAGGGAGGGAGAAGTAAGGGTGTTTTACTTCTCCCCGACGAATGCAAGCCCCCATCCAGAGATGGGTACTGGTATGAGACAAAGAATTCTAATCCATGGCAAAATCACAAGGGAAAAGACAACACAGATTATTCATAAAGCTAGATTTATTTAAAGTGCCTGTCCTTTATTCTACATAGAATGATGGAACAAGGTAGAAGTATCTTAAAATAATCAGGGAACATAAGACTGGGATGAAAACAAGCAGAGAAGTAACTGACCAGGCAAATGCTTGAAGGAAAAGCAGTCAGTTCACAGGGTCCGTAAGCCCCTCACTGGTATGGCTCAAGCAGCATGAACTTAGGTGGTGAAAGGTAGGAACTGATGTTAAGAGAGGCTGGTTGTGGCTAGAACATATAGTGCACCTTGCAAGCCTGAGAAACTCTGGATTTTATTCTTTGTCAGATGGGAAATCAAGAGAGGATTTAGGGGAAGCTTAAGAGTAACTTAATTTTTTTTTTTTTTTTAAAGGTCCTAGCTACTCCATGAGGAATGGGCTAAAGAGGGTACAAAACGAAAGCAGGAAAATAGGGTGGTGAGTAGCAGTTGGACAAAGGATATACTCTGAGGCAGAAATAGTATGAATGGATGGATGGATGATATGAAAGGGTTAAACTATACCCATCTTCTCCCTGGAAGAGAAGTTAGCGTACATAGAAATCAATTTCTATAGATTTCAAAGAGGACATGTCAATATTGTATCAGAATACATTGAAATTACTGGTTATAACGTATGCTAAAAAGTTAATTTGGTAAACAAAAATTTTAATAAATGACAGTCATGTGCTACATGACATTTCAGTCAATGGTGGACCATATATATGACGGTGGTTCCACAAGATTATAAACAAGCTGAAAAATTCCTATTGCCTAGTGATGTCTTAATAGACCTAAGCAAATTTAAGAGTGTGTATATCAGTTTTTAACAAAACAAAAACATTTAAAAAGTAAAAAAACAAAAAAATTCAAATAGAAAAAAGCTAAGTATGAATATAAGGGAAGAAAATATTTTTGTACAGCTGTACATGTTTAAGTCAAGCGTTAAGAGTCCAAAAGATTAAATTAAAAAGTTACAGTAAGCTAAAGTTAATTCATTGTTCAGGAATGAAAATTTTTAAATAAATTTAGTGTAGCTTAAGTGTCAGTGTTTCCAATGTCCACAGTAGTATACTGTAATGTCCTAAGCCTTCACATTCACACACCACTTACTGAATTACCCAGAACAACTTTCAGTTCTGCAAGCTCCATTTATAAGTGCCCTATATAGGTGTAACCTTTTTTAAAAAATGTTTTCTATCTTAATTTCACTGTGTCCTTTCTGTGTTTAGGTATGTTTAGATACACAAATACCAATGTGTTACAACTGTTTACAGAATGCGTATAGTAATATGCTGTACAGGTTTACAGCCTAGGAGCAAGAGGTTATGTCACCCAGGTTTGTGTAAGTATGGTCCACATTCGCAAAATTGCCTGACGCATTTCTCAGAATGTACTCCCATTGTTAAGTGACATACGGCTGTAGTTTAAACTTTAATCAGACTTCATCATATATTAGATATACAGCATTAGAATCTTTAGTGTGTACAATTTGTCAGCTTTATTCAAGCAAACAAGTCAAGTGCTTGTATCTACTTTGTTAAGTGACCACCTTTTTACTTGACACTCACACCAGACTTTCTAAGAACAAGCAGCAGCACAAATTGAGATTTTACCAAGAAAGAATATACGCATGTAGCAAAATCAAAGTTCCTTAAACGTTTTTTGAACACAGATCTAAAACGTTTAATCAAGACATTTAATCTTTCCTTTGATTTCATAAGAACTAAGCAGCACATTCTAAAAAGTACACAGAGGTCAGGAATGGTGGCTCATGCCTGTAATCTCAGCACTTCGGGAGGCCAAGGCAGGTGGTTCACTTGAGGTCAGGAGTTCAAGACCAGTCTGGTCAACATCGTGAAATCCTTCTCTACTATAACCAAAAAAAAATTAGCCAGGCATGGTGGCGTGCACCTGTAATCCCAGCTACTCAGGAAGCTGAGGTAGGATAATTGCTTGAACCCAGGAGGTGGAGGTGGAGGCTGCAGTGAGCCAAGATCATTGTGCCACTGTACTCTAGCCTGGCTGACACTGCAAGACTCCGCATTTAAAATAAAATAAAAAATACAGAGATAAATAAGCTAATCCTCTGTACCAAACCGAATCCCCAAAAAGAACTGGCCTCAGAAAGTAACAGAGAAAGAATTAAACTGGAAGATGTAATGGAGGCACTTAAGTTGGCTGGATTTTCCCAGTATATTCCTCCTCCATTATTCAGTTTACACTAGCTATGAATTCCTAAGGCATGACATTCCTAACATTTAAATACAGTATTTCAAAGCCAAATGTGATACATCAGAATGATCATAGAAATTTACCAAAAAAACCACAAACTTCAGATAATCTAACCAAGAACTTTAGAGAAGACAGTAAAGTGGTCCCTGATACAGGCAGGATGA